TTGATCCTTTGTTGTCATACATATATGTTTATATATATTTATATATATATATATATATGTATGTATATTAGAGACAAAGATGCATTAAAGGTGTATAGAGACTTCAAACTTATTCTTATCGCCAGGGAGGTAAAGAAAAAAGTCTATAAAGGGTCTTTTTTAAGTGAAAATAAATTCAAATAATTTTTGTCGTTCCCGTTTATTTGGTTTTAGGCTAGTAGTGTTGATTTTCGATGTTATAGATAGACATCGCGTAATGTGGGGATGGGCCATGTTTTTTTTCCTTTTTTCTTTCCCCTTTTTCCAGGTTCCCTCTCCATCCTCTCCATTTTAGTTTCCCATTCAGTTCTAAGGGATCGCCCTGGGGCACCGCTACACAGATTTTTTTTTATTCTAACAGGTGTGTGTGAGTGTGTGGGTGTGTGTAAAAAGGGGCATCGCGCAAAGTCCCCTTCTTGTAGGTCATGCCTGGGCTATTCTATGGGTGAAGACGTGAAGATCGTGAACGACAATCCCGACTCGCCCTCCGCTCCGGTGAAAACCGCGTCCTACCAACGAGAACTTCGGGCGCAGGAGCGGCTGGGGCGGGTCCAGGGCCGGCTGACAGATCTGACGTACGCCGACCTCACCCGCACCCGCGGCGGGGCGGTCGATTTTATCCGGCCCAACACCCTCAAATCCATTTGTGGGTCGATCTCGCAGTTCGACGGGCGGGCGGGTCCGATGCGGGCGCTTCTTCCGCCTTTGACCAGCGATTGTTGTCAGACCTTCTCGACGCTGTCAGCGGTGCTGCTGTCCTCCCTGGGGACTGGTGTGATGTTGACCGAGTGCTGTACGACGTCGACGGTGAATTATCTTTTGTATATCTCCGCCTGGATGCACCAGCTGACTTCCACGAGTTGGCCGCAAAAAGGCCTGCGGCCGACTTTGGGGGATTTGAACACTTCCCTTTATCTGCGAAATTTCTTCCCTGCGACCATCTGCGATGGGGCATTCGAGGTCGTTTTCTACAACCAGCCGCACAAGGCCATGACGCTGCTCCGTCAGATGTGCACTGTGGGAACGGACAGAAAACGGCAATTAGGGGAAAATCGCGCGACTGCGGTTTCCGGCTACGTGATTGTTTCGGGCGATTATACCATCTCGATTTTTTCCATCCTTCATGATGGTTCATCGTCTTTAAAATCGCGTTATGCAAAGGCGTGGAGCTTTTATATTTGCGATTCCCACGGAACACAGCCATGGTCACTTCAAAAGGCGAGCATTTGTGGCCTCACCTTTGGGATTCCCTCCGCGGAAGCCTCGACCTCCGTATCTTCTTCGTCTGGAAGCGTCCCCGAGGATTCTATTAGCATGGAGGATGGTCTTCACTACTTCTCGACGATGTTGTTTGTTTTGTTAGAGCAGCATCGCCAGCAAGGCGTTTTGAGTCAAGCTCAGGTGCCCTATATGACGTGGACGCCAATTCGGCGAAGGCGCCTCCTCGCCTACACGGCGGACGAAATTAAAGCGATTATTGATAATCTCTGGATTCCAAAGGTTATCTCTGCCGAGGCAGTCAAAAGGGAGGCGAGACGATATAGCTTTAATCCACTGGAGTGCTTTTGGGAGATCTCATCGAAACCTTTTATCAAAGATGACAACACTTCAACCTTGTGAATATTGGTATACTCTTCTTTTTTTGAGGTCTGGGAGTAAGGGGGGAAGGGTGTCCATTTAATAATTTGGTCCCCAGAGTGCTTGATTTTTCTATATTCAAACCAAAACAATGCCTCTTTTATTTTGTTGACTTAAGTGTTTTTTTTATAAACATTCAGATTGTTGGAATCCATGGATAATATTAGTGTGTTTTTCATGGTTACAGAGGCTGTTGTAGGGAGATAAAAAAAAGTCTTATGGCGTCCGAAGGAGAAAATTATCTTTACCTTATGATTGTAATTATGTAACCCTTTTCTCTTTTTACGCGCTCTTGTAACTTCTGCTTAACTGTTCCAGGACAATCCTCATTTTATATTTGAGTGTGGTAAGGTTAATCGTTTGGGCTTGATTAATATTATAATCTTCTAATTTCTCTTTTCTGAGAAGAATTTATAAAACAGTTCCTGGAGCACGAAATAGCTAATAAAAACTCCATCGAGCGATTTAAAAGTCCAAAAACACCATTCAATTTGGTAAGGATATTTTTCCTTTTTATTTTTTTACACCCACAGCGTGTAGAAGAATCCGAGACGGTATTTTTTTGTTTTTTTCTAAACGATAACCGCTATTAATGGGCCTGCTCGAGCGACGAAAAGCCATCGAGGATGAGATCGCGCGGACGCAGAAGAATAAAAAGACGGAGTACCACATCGGCCGCCTCAAAGGCCAGCTCGCGCGCATTCGGACGGAGATGATGGAGCACGCGGTGAGGGCGGCCGGCGCGAAGGGCGGGGACGGCTTCGACGTCCGAAAAAGTGGCGACGTTCGCGTGGCGTTGGTGGGTTTTCCCTCCGTCGGAAAGTCGTCTTTTCTCTCGCGGGTGACCGAAACGGCGAGCGAGGCCGCCGGGTACGAATTCACCACCCTCACCTGTATCCCGGGAAAGCTTTTTCACAAGGGGACGGAAATCCAGATATTGGATTTGCCAGGGATTATCGAGGGCGCCGCGGAGGGAAAGGGGCGGGGACGGCAGGTCATCGCAACCGCACGAACGGCGGATATGATTATTCTGATGATCGACGCCGTCAAGGCTGAGATTCAGCGCGGTAAAATTGAAAACGAGCTAGAAATGGTGGGCATTCGACTGAATCAATGTTATCCCAACGTGACCTTTAAGAAAAAGGCATCGTGCAGTATGAATGCGGTTAGCTACAGTTCGAACATCAAGCAAACTAAGGGGATGTCAGAGAGCATGGCGAAGGAGATTCTCAAGGACTACGGTATTTTCAACTCCGAGGTGGTCCTGCGCGAGGATATTACCATAGATCAGTTCATCGACGTGATCGAGGGGAACCGAATTTATATGCCTTGTTTGTATGTTTATAACAAGATCGATTCCATCACAATTGAGGAGATGGATCGTCTGAGCCGAATGCCGCATTCGGTCGTCTTGTCCTTGCAATGGGATCTCAACGTGGACGAGGTGATCGATGAGGTTTGGGAACACCTCAACATTATTCGCATTTACACGAAAAAAAAAGGAAGCCCTCCTGACTTTTCCAAACCTTTCGTAACCAAGCGAAATTCCACCGTAGAACATATTTGTAAGCGTATTCACAAGGATATCGTATCGCGGTTTAAGTACGCGCTAGTGTGGGGAACGAGTGCGAAGCACGCCCCTCAGCGGGTTGGTATTAATCAAGTCCTTGAGGATGAGGATGTTTTACAGATTCTGCTCAAGACAGCGAACGAATAAGATTTTCATATGATTTTTTTTTTTGCGTTTGGTAAAGGCAGAGAACCCTAACCGCATTCTAAAATGAAAATGGAAAAATAAAACAAAAAAGAGTTCATTATGGCACTTCCAGTGTACTACACAGGCAAACTACTTTGCAAAGACCTCAATGGTGAGTTTGATTCTTTGTTAGTTTGCATTCTCGTGGATATGCCTTGTGATGGTGCCGTTTGTCTGCTCGATATTGAGTGGATCGTGCTTTTCTTTCTGTATTTTACCCTTTCTATTGGTTGTAGTTGCGGTATACGTTTTTAGCACCGTGTGGTCCTGGACTTTTCGATCCCCCTATATAGCTAGACACCTCAAAAAAAAAATACCCTTTTTGATGCGGCAATGAGCCAGAGCTACCTTTCCATCGACTTTTTGACCTCCAAGGGGGTTGGGATGAGCAAACCCCTGCGGGATTGGCTCGTGCGGGCGTCTTTTCTGGCGAAGAACCGCAGCAGCGCCGCGGAGCGGACGCGTTATGAGAACTGGGCGGTGCAGGTCATCGAGGACGCCGTGCGGGGCGCCGGCGGGGCGGAGTCGGTCGATTGGACGAAAATCTCCCCGGTGATGCCGCTCGGCGCGGCGGAGTGCCGGCCGTCGCTGATCTACGCCCCCCCCTCCTCGGACG